AGACTGTTTGTCGTCGAGTGAATAATGCGCATGCGCGGTTTTTCTTGTGGAAACATTCTAACTTATGCAGCAGGTTCTCGGTCAGAAAGTGTAATGGTCGTACATACAAACAGGCAGAATAATAGTATAGATCACATAGAATGATCTACCGAAAACTCCACATAGATGATAAAAAGTTTGAGCATGGTACAGGGTGCGGCAAAAGTTTTATCTCTCTTCACCTCACCTCACGTATGCCAATACCTCCAACATCAAGTTCAGACCTTCACTAAAGCTGTTTACCACCTCCGAAAGAACTACCACGATGATGATTGTGATGATTTTGACTCTAGATTCACTTGAAGAATCTTAACCCTACCGACTCGGGTCTTTCTATGGTCACTGGGCAAAGGCCATGTCATCACGTTTGTAGACTCATTCAAAATTTTATTGAACAATAACTTTATGAATGTATGTCAACAAGTCTGGTATCAAATTGTAGATTATAATTCAAATTTTAGTATTGTATATTAGTTAATTTCTTAATTTAAAAGTAACTATTTAAAGAAATCTTTAATATAGATTTTTGTGTCACGTGGTATGTTGAATGCAACATTGGTTCAGATTAGATGCTTGTGATGTCCAAATACAAAATCTAGCGTTTCTTACGAATTAAATACTCAATTTACCGATATTTACAAGCTAGAATATAAGATAAGAACCTCCTGTCTTTTCTATTTTCGGAGATATTTATATATTTCTTGAATCAACCAAGGTGGTCTCACCCACGTCTTCCATTTTTGAGAATTCTTGCTTATGTACACGTGTGTATAACCAATCGAAAGCTTAGAATGTCCCCCTAGTGGTTTTCTCAGCCTCTGCGAAGTATTTGCACGGGAAACCTTTTTTTTTTTCCTCAAGAAAAGATTCCAAACGGTAAGGTAAGACATTAGTGAGCTCGACAAAATCATATTTTTTAGACCCAAATACAGCTTAGTTACTGTATTCTGTGGTATTGATATAGTAATTTATGATTTTTTGTTATTTAAAAATGCATATATAAAACCTAAAAATATATTTTGTTTTACATCCTCCACGTGCGAAAGTTGATGAGGCTTTACAACTTGCGGCAAGCAACAAACGAGTACAAAGTACGTAACTAGAAGAAATAATTGTTTTTCTAATTTTCTTTATTTACTATTATATGTTTTAAGAAAAATAACTGAAACTTAAGAAGTTATTTGTAAATAGTAATAATGTATATACAATACATATATATAATGTATTATAACCGAAATGTGACTGTATTTTACAAAATACTGGGCCCTTAGAACACAGCCAAGACAGGTCACTTTGTAATGGCCAGTTTTATACTATTGGATACCTTAAGATGAGTGCGCATGCGCCGCGTCATTGCAACATCTGTAATGTTAGTCAGATAGGGCTGAAAGGTAAATAAAATAAAAATAATAAATATATATAGATGTATAATGTTATGAGATTTAAGCTATTTAGGCTAAACATTTATGTTTTAGTGTTATAATCTGTAGTCATTCTAGAACGAAAAAAGTATAATTGACATATATTTCTTAATTTTTTATGGTAGTTACGAGGTCGGTCAAATCGACCAAACCCGTACAGAAATACAATAGTAAAAATAACAGATAAAATATAAAGTTTTTCAAAAACGTTTGATAATTATCAGTAGGTTATAAAGATTTCAACTGTGAAATTTTAGAATTTTCTGATGCACAAAAGTATTTTTAATCTTAAAATCAAAATTACTTTGCATGTTGGATAGTCAACATTCAAAAATAAATGTATGAGAAAACATTAATTAAAAAATCTTATAACTCAGTAAAAAAAAATGATATTTTGCACACGAAAGCCTTGTAATATTTACCGATAGTCTGCAAAATTTCTTGAAGGTACGCTTATTGTATTAAATGTTCTAGCATGAAAACTATAACAAGCACAAAATGGTTACGAGGTCGGTTCCTTAAAGAGTTTATAGATACGAGGAATTTTCCCGTCTATGTGGAGTCCCCCGGTGGAACATCAGTAAGTGTACGAACTTACAATACTAAAATAAATCCGGGAATTGCATTTAACAATACAGTTTGAGCACAACTGGTTTCTTCAACAACCTAAAGAAATAAGAATCGATGCTGAAAGTGTAATATAAAGATCTTGACTTTGAGCAATTTGCATGTGGTTTTTCGAGGACGTAAATGACAACATTTCTTGAATCGGCGTATCCAATAAGATAAAAGCGGGATTGGTCTGTCTAAAGGATGTTTTAATCACGTTTCGTCGACCATCTGCCTAACTGAAGTCCACCTTGCAAGGTAAATTAAACACGTTCTTTAAGATGTACTCGCTTTCTTAACATCTTACAGACTTCTGAAGTAAAAAATAGTTACGCTTAGTTGCTCTTTATTATTGTTATTTTCCACACTTTATTTTGATGCAGATCGAGTTATTGAGTTGCATCTCTTCCACTTGCTGCCTCCCCTCCCCTAAAAAAATAATGTTTCCGACTTGATCTTAGATATTTTGATCAAACTCCTCTTTCTATTTCCAAAAATATAGATAACCACTCAGAACGAGAAGCATATGTTAGAGGACCAGCTGCCGCGAACTGAAGAATTGTTTTTTTTTAGCATTATCAGGTCGCTTGTAAGGAAATGAGTGTCCATTTTCTCTTTGGAATTATTTTTGGATGTAAATAAAATTGTCATTATTTTGATAGTTCAATAAAACAACAGTTGGACGATCCTACATAATGACACGCGTTTTATTCAAATCACCATCTTGTTTTATTGAAAGAGAGGGGTGAATAAAAGCTGCTCTAGTTTAAAGAAAAAGTGATTTAGATATTCTGTACCATGAGTACAGTATGGTGTACCACATCCAGTTCTAAACAAAACTTCTAATGAACTCGCGTTCCTCTAAAACAAGTATTCTTTTTAAGGTATGAGAATTTTAAATAAGGGGTTTGCTTTATAGTCATCTTCCATATTATAGATTATGTGCTATTATTTCCGATATATTTTGTCACGTCAGTTATATACTCCAGTTTTATGTGCTATTAATTCAGATATATTTTATCACATCAGTTATATACTCCAGTTTTATGTGCTATTATCCGATATATTTTGTCACGTTAGTTATATACTCCAGTTTTATGTGCTATTAATTCAGATATATTTTATCACATCAATTATATACTCCAGTTTTATGTACTATTATTTCAGCTATATTTTATCACATCAGCTATGCACTGCTGTGTTTTGTGTTATTATTTCAGATATATTTTGTCACTTCAGTTATATACTCCATATAAACCTAATATAAACCTAAGAGTTCATAAACCTAAATGATGTAACATGTTACTTCAGTGTAATACATTCATCGTGTGACATCCTTAAATATTATTATATAACACCAGCACGCTTCAATAAACCAGAGTTCATAAACCTCTCTGGGAAAAGGATTTTTTAAAGACTAAAATTGGACATGAAAGATATTCACAGTTTTTCGTTAAAAGGCTTTATTTATAAAAATTAAAACGATCACGGAACACTAAACAAATATGTGGATATTTTGTTCAACTGTAACTTAGCAAAGGGAGAGAAAATCTCTAGAATTAACTTAAATCACAACAATGCGTTTCTACTTATGACATAGGTTATTTAGGTTTTTCCCAATTGATATAAAATAAATTACAAGTAAGTTGTTATAATTAACTTCCTTTTAGGGCAAGCTACCTATTTAGAGCATGACTAAAAAATCATGCTGCTAATGAGTGTATCTAATTAATTGAAATTCTATTTATAATGCATTCTTAGTACGGATTCTTAGTTATGAGAGTTAATTAATTCGAGATAATTTGAAACGCTTAATTATTAGAATTGAAGTTAAGATTGATCAACAAATGATGTACTTTACAAACCGGTCTCGGTAATTAAAGTCTGTAATTTAACCAGTTAAATGTAATCCCTTGTAACAATGACTTCCTTCGATCTTAAACAATATCTTACAATACAAACAGGCCCGGCATGGTCAAATGGTTAGGACGCTTGACTCGCATTCTGAGGGTCGCGGGTCCGAATCCCTGTCCCACCAAACATGCTCGCCCTTTCAGCCGTGGGGGCGTTATAATGTGACGGTCAATCCCACTATTCGTTGGTAAAAGGGTAGCCCAAGAGTTGGCGGTGGGTGGTGTTGACTAGCTGCCTTCCCTCTATTCTTACACTGTTAAATTAGGGACGGCTAGCGCAGATATCCCTCGTGTATCTTTGCGCGAAATTTAAAACAAACAATATCTTACAATACAAAGAATATGTAACTGTGTCTTATCTCAGTTTCTTTTACTTTTGTCCACAATTCACGGCTTGTTTGTGCTCTGAAGTCGATTATAATAACGTATCGATACTGTACGGTATTTGATCTTATTTAGTAACATAAATATAACGACATTATACGCTATTTTACAGAGGGTCGAGTATCTTATATTAAAATGATTTTGAATATGTAAATCAACAAATCACGTGACAATCACAACTGATATAAAGTCGCGATAAAACGGCATTTATCAGAACTACATTTTGACGTTGTTTGGCGTTCCCTAGGCGGTGTGATATCATCGAAAATTGGTTGCTTTTGGAAAGGGTATGTAACAGTTCTCTCCGATGCAAAATATTCATACATTCAGATTATAAAGATGTGTTCAGATCGGGGAATTTATAGTTTCCAAGGCAGAGACATCCCTTGTACTTAATGGTATTGGATAGCAAAGAAATATGAATGAACTTGGGGCACTAGGACCATCCAGAAAGAGACCTGCAACAAGCTGTATACAATTAAGAACAGTTTCTGTGTAGAAAAGGAGACACAAATGACAAATACACATTTTGCTTCCACGACATATCTGTTCAACTATCTCACACCCCAAGCAACTGGAGAATGAACCGGGTATCCATGTTATATCATACGAATACATATCGTTCAAGTCGCCGGACGCAGCGCCTATGGATTTCTGTGCGGTAGAAATGTTGAAACTAGCGCTAGGAAATCGTCGTCCTCGTACACCAGATATATTATTAAAAACAGTAGGATAAGAGGGTTGTGCTTTGAATCGCTTTCAATGGAAACTTTATTGCAAGACTATTGTTAAGATGAACGGTTGTCAGATAGAGTATGACCGGACATGGAGACATGAACTGTAGGAACGTGTGAAGCTCCGAAATCGTTTTAATTTAATATGTTCAACCTTTGTATTAATTATATTCATCAAAAATTATAAATCATTAAAGCGTTTATAAAAAAAAAAACAACAACAGAAAAACGTTTATCACAGATAGCCCATTGTGTAGCTTTGTGCTTAACTTCAAACAAACAAAAATGTAAAGTCTTATCGCCATCTTATTCAATCCACTTTGCTATATTGAGTAAAATAATTATTTGGCCGTGTATAAACCTTTCAATCAGTATTGTGCATATTGCAATGACGTCATTGAAATTAAAAACTAGTTTAAAATAGTTTCAATTTTAGGTTTCGAAAAAGCTTGATCAATTAGCATTGTATCTATTAATGTAGGACTTTGCATCTAGTAACTAACAAGTTCTATCACTTGCTACTAAGACTAACGTATGGGTTACGTTCAATCAACCCAACTCTTTTTGTAAAGTTATAAACGCTGAACGTTATTCATGGCCTTACCGTGGGGATGATAGCTGTTGATGGTCTTGGTACCAAGGTTGTCCGCTGTAGGGCGTGCATGCAAGGGGGATCTTTCCTACGTATCGAATGGTCATTGTCATGAGAGGGGAAAATTTCAAAATGTCCACGGCCTTATCGTGTGAGATAGTTTGAAAGTCCTGGTCGTTTACTGACAGTATTTGATCACCAACCTATAAGAAAAATAGGAAAAAAAAATGTTAATCGATTATAATTTCTGGTAAACGGCTGTTTCTCGGTAAACCAAACCCAGTAAGTTTTTTTATAATTAAATCATAGTTACTGTGTAAAATTAGTGTCGTTATCATGGGTAAAAACGTACAATGATCATTTTGACCAACACAAATCTTTTGACCAAGGTTTTTGGGGACTAGGGCGGCCCTGAAAAAACTATGGGGTTGTACATGTTATTGGATATATTCTGAGGCCCTTTGTACAAGTTTCAGAAACCAGTTACAACTGGTGGGTCAGCGGTAAGTTTACGGACTTACAACACTAAAATCAGGGGCTTGATTCCTCACGATGGATACATTAGGTAGTTCAATGTGGATTTGCTCTAAAACAAATAGACTAAACTAAAACTAACTTGACTCTATAGAAAAAAATCATAAATCACTTACAACCTGACAATCACATAAATACTCAAACCTTTATATGTACGTTCAACTGATTGTTTAAAACTTCAGTTGCACATGAAAAAAAAACAAAAAACATATCATTGGATTAACCAGTTATGATACTTTCCTTGTACAAATGAAAATGGTTCGAACTTTAGACCAATCACGATTAGAACAGTATTTACAGTAAAACGTAAAATGTGTTTATTTTACTTAAATAATGCTTTGTAATCATGCCTGGGAGAGACCTCTTTGACGGATTTCAGCCTGCAGCTGGAGTACTTTCACCCACGCGTTTTAATTTTGATTTAAATTCTAGTTCCAAACTCCTCTGAAATCTAAGGACCTGATGAAGAAAAGCAACATCGTAAAGATCATAAGCATTAAATCTATGGAATTACTAAAAAAAAAAGAAAAAGAACGCATGCGTAGTATTGAAACTAGATATAATGTTCATTAGAGTTTGCATCATCATTTCTAAGCAACAAACTTGGATGAACTTTATTAAAGTAAAAATTGATGTAACTTTCGTACTGTGGCTATTACCTTAATGGCTACCATGAACAAAGACTTCAGTTTAAACGTTAATAGAAAAAAAGTAACCCCAACAACAAGTTAATAAGAATAATAAATAATAGCGGAAATAGAAAAAGTAAAAATCCAGAAAGAAATTAGCTGAAAAAATACAAATAAAAACTAATAACTTAGAAAAAGAAAAGTGTTGTAGAAAGAGCAAGAAAGACGAATAACGAAAAGAATCGCTAAGAGCAGAAACATCACACGCCCCATAGTGATATAAAAATACAAATAGGAAGACTAATTCAATGACGAGGAACCCACTTTGAGACTAATAATGCTTGGAGACGATTTGAATGTAATGAAAAAAAACATTAATACAAGTTTAACATAACAGCAAAGATTTTGCCATCATCAGGTACACTAAGAAGACTAAAGCAGGAATCCGAAGTGTGTTTATCAGACGGTATCTTTCTTTAAAACTCTAATAGATGGCGCTACAATAGAGGGCGCGATTTGAGATTAGAAACTTCATGGACGGGAATAGATGTATTCCATGGGAATTTCTTCACGTTCAGCAGTAGCAGTGACCACAACAAAGAACTAAATTGAAGCTGGAGTTTTAGGAAAACGCAGTAAACACGAACACGAAATTCAACAAATAAATAAAGTATTTGACATGGGGTGGTTTTGTTCATATTTCAGCGAAAAGTAGCCAGCAAGAGAGATGGTTGCTATAGCAACATAAAGACAGTTTTCCGGGATAATAGCCGAAAGTAAAGTAGAAGAACTAGTGAGAAATTAATTAAAATGTCAAAAGTTTACATTAAAGTGCAAACGGTTCTTCTAACTGTTGTTTACAAATATACAATCTATTTTTTTATGTCATTTCCCTCTCCCTGTAGAAGAAATGTGGGAAAATGCGCAGTAATCTTTCTACCATTTTAAAATAAAAAACGTGGAATTTCACGAGTTGTAGGATTAGCCCAGAACGAGCTAGTTGTTCAGCTAGGGACAGTCTTTTCCAGTGGGAAATATGAGTAACTAACTATACGTCCTAGAAGTAAATATTTCCAATGGGAAATATGAGTAACTAACTATAC